TTGTAGTAATGGTGCTTTTTAAAAAAACTTTTGCCTCATATTTTTAATGGTGCTTTTTAAAAAGGTGCATTTTAAGCTCATCACAGTTATACGAGGATATCCAAAAGCAATGTTAAAATCTTTGTTAAATATTGTCCTGTATGTCTCATAAGAAATCTTGCTATCTGGATAGATGTTTTGAAACATGTTAAACATTTCGTTTTTGTTTAAATCCTCAGATAAATATAGGCGTTTTGTTTTATCTTGCAAGTAGTGAGACTGCCTACCCCTAAAAGATAAAATGTGATCTCTTATCTTCTGAACCATTTCATCTGTCAGCTTATAAGGGCTATATGTATGTTGACCTCTTCTGTCCTTTGATGGCTCACCTAAAGATGAAAAGATAAAAAACAATAAGAAAATATGTTAAATAATTTCTGTTCATCAAAAACTAAATTAAATATTATAATCTTAAAATAACTTGCTTGATAAATAATTGAGAAACTGTTTCAATTTATTTACCACATCATATAGATTAGTCCCTTTTATTTAAATCTACACTAAAAACTTAGGCTTAGGGAAATATTATATTAGTAATAATACTATTGTTAATATGATTATAATAGAGACTGAATATGATTATAATAGATTTCATTTTTCCATGATCTTCTTTGCTCAATAATGCATTGAAAGAGTCCAATAAACGAGCTCTTTCATCTACTGTTACAACTTCAAAACATTTATATTATGTATATTTGCAGTCAGGTCCTGTTGTATGATACGAAAGTTTTTGTTTTTTTAGTATTTCGTTTATTCTCCCTGTAGTTTTCCTTTTCTTGGGCCTATTTGTTAATTCACAGTCCTCTTCGCAATCCGCCATATTTAAAATGCTATTTACACAAGATCGACCCCTCATTGGACGATGTGATCATGTGACTAAAAGTATCACATGACATTAGTGACACTGACATTTTTTCCCTTGTAAACATTGGACCATGCCACTTTTTCCATGATATAGAGTTTTTTCTTTTTTAATTATCATATAGACATTTCCACTTTTTTCGCCTAAAATGTGGTTCGGTACAAACTATAGAAATCTATGCAGAGGGCAGAGGTAATAACTAAGAAAAACCAAAAATGTGACTGCTTTTTTTTTCCCTGGACTCTTCATATATATATATATATATATATATATATATATATATATATATATATATATATATATATATATATATATATATATATATATATATATATATATATATATATATATATATATATATATATATATATATATATATATTTATATATATATATATATATATATATATATTTTATATATATATATATATATATATATATATATATATATATATATATATATATATATATATATATATCCATGCTTGATCTGGCTATAAATCCAAAATTAAATATAAATGTATTATAAAAAACTTTTACAATTGGTAATCACATTTCACTAGATAATAAATGACTGATCAATTTATGGTTATAGAGTTGTTTAATTATATCGGTGTTTATTTTCCTTGTTGATTTAAGATCAATATTTAATGTAGTTTAGCAGCTGCAGCAACTTAAATTTCAGAAAGAAGATTTTGTTAAAATAGTATCGCCTTATATTCAAGGTTCAGCTCGGTTTGAGGTCTTCCATCAAGTATGTAAGCAGGTATGAGGGATAGGAAGTGTGATTACCCAAAAATGGGTAATCACACCTCCTATCCCTCAGGGATATGAGGTGTGATAAGAAAAGAAGAGTTAAAAACAACTAGTACGTCTGAGTTTTGACTATTTTTAGTTCTCTAACTTTCCTAAAATTCGATTTTTTTTAATAAAAAGCATTGAATTTCACGAATTTAAAAAATCACTATTATGTTATGTAACAGAGAAATGTCAAATTAACTCAGTTATTTGTTTTAATATTTAAAAAAATTTAGGACTTAGGGACTTTAGTTAGGGGATTTGATGTTAGGAGGTTAATTATCTAATAAATAATGCCTACATATGCAGAAGCGGGCTTGGTTGTTAAAAGCTTACATGTGCATACAACAGTGAATAGGGGGTCATAAATCAGCGGTTTTACTGCGTGCATACTTTATGGATATTGTTTCAGCGAGCGTATATTACAAACATTTTTGTGTTTTAATACTGAATAGAATAGAAGTGATCCTTCTCCCAGACGAAGAAAGACTCCTGTTCTGAACTTTAATGCTGAAAAATTGGCACACCTGATATCATGGAAGTCACCGATTTATAAGCCAGTTTCAACTAATTCTCTAACAACTTCTGAAATCAAGGTGTTTTTATCAAATCTTATGTAGGTACCGAATTGGCTTATCATAAACAATCTATTGAACGTTGCATAAATCAGGTTACAGAAGCTTCAAGTAGAGCGTACACTCATGATAAGAGAGAAGGATATGTCTGAGCTCAAGAAGCGTGTAGAAAGTTAATGCCTAAAATTAATAGTAAACAATACCTTGAAAATTTGACACAAATGTTTTTGTAGTAAATTTATAATATTTATTAAACCAACTCGGTATTTAAAAAAATATATCTTGCTGTATTTCTAATATCATAGTAATAATATATAATATATATATATAGTAGAACATTGAGTACTTTGTATATTTGTAGTACACACTAACTTAACTTATATTTAAGTATATATATATATATATATATATTCCTTTAAAAATTTTTTTTAAGGTTTCGATTGATTTTATCATTACTAACTTTGGCAGGTATTTTGTTTGTGTGGAAGAAATACTAGAATATCGAAGTTGCAACAGTTTTAATGATAACCTTACTTCGTGTCATTGATATTAATTAGGAACTAGGCTACCAATGGTTTTTATAGCATAACGATTACATTTAAATAAAAAGTCTGTTATAAAACACCGAATAATTTATAATTATTTTGTTAGCATAATCTGATAACCTTACCAAAAAAATGTTGGTTTTCTAGTGCCAAATAATATCTTGAATTTTATGTTTAACAGCCATTTTTTAGTTATTTTGCTTTTTATTTATTGCGCTTTTTATTTACTTGATTAAATTTAGGTTTGCGGGCAATCCATGGTAATTTATTTTTAATATGTTTTTTTTTTACATAGTTCTTAATATTCTAAGAAGTATATCTCTAACTACTGATTTGACATTAATTTCAGTCTACGTATTAAATATACTAAATGTTCGTTATTTTTTGCATAAAATCTACATTTTTGAAAAATACAATTTTTAAATCCATTTGATTTTTAACTAAATTCTTCACGATATACTGAATGAAATTCTATTATGTAATTTTTGTTGACTCATGTTTTATATGTGCATCAGCTTGTAAATATACAACAAATTTATATTTTTACACGAAAGTTTCCAAATACGTTGTAGTTTGTTATTTTATCGTGTCGGTCGTGAATTATTTTTTAGTTTTCTCTCTTTGTGAGCAAACTAAAAAGAAAGACTAATACATTATAGATTTTTTAAAGTTCTTTCTCGTGCATTTTTACCCCTCAAAAAATATTTGCCAGGGCTTTTTTGTTTTTAATTTTTTAGTTTTTGTTTTTTTAGTTTTGAGATTTTATTTCGGTTATAAAACTAAAGACTTTAGTTTTATAATCAACATTATTTAAATATTATACATATTAATACATATTTTTAAATATTTAATATTTCTGTTTTAAAGTAATTTGATTGCTTTGAAAATTTATTTAAGTTATCTAACTTTGATAATTTAAATAAATATGTATGCTACTGATTTAATATAACCACGTTAAACAAATTTTTAAAAATTAAAAATAATTATTAAATATTAATTGCATTTCAACCCTCTGGTAGTTACTGATATGTCTGACAACGAAGTTGATCACGTTTCCTCGAAAAATTTAGATGACAAAACAAGATCACCAATACAAAATCGACTATTGCAATTACCGTTAGCTCGTGTAAAAACAATTATGAAAACAAGTCCGGATCTTTTAAACGTTAGTCAAGAAGCATATTTTTTGGTCACTCGTGCCACCGAACTTTTTGTGGAATACATAGCAAAAGAGGTTCACAAAGTATCGGCTGACAAGAAGAAACTTGACTATAAGCTATTATGCACGTTTCATTTATTTTTTTTTACTCTTTTTTTAGTGATATTTTATTTTTAGTGTGTTATGTTTATTGTGGGTAATGTTATTTAATATTTTTATTTTTTTATTTTAGCTGAAATAGTAGCAGATACTGAATGCTTAGAGTTTCTTGAAGGTTTATTATTTATATAACTTGAAGGTTTATATATATATATATATATATATATATATATATATATATATATATATATATATATATATATATATATATATATATATATATATATATATATATATTACAATTTGAAGATTTGAAACAAGCTTTAAATTATTTATTTTGTTTTTTTTTTTAAATGATTTTTTAATTTTTTTTATAGAAATTGTACCTAAAAAGATTAAAATGTCCGAGTATTGGGCGAAAATTGGATGCATCCCAGAAATTGAAGAAACTAAAAATAAAAGCCGTAAAACTCCTCTAAAAGAAAATACCAACTCCCCTAAAGTCCGCAATACTACAAAAAAAGAAGATTCTAAGTCTCCGAAAGTTCGAAAATCTCCAAACGTTGCGGTTGAAGCTGTAAAAGAATCCATTGTAATCGATTAGTTTTGCAAGTTTATTAATCTTACAAACGAGATTAGTTTATCGCTTTTAACCTCCAAAAAAGATTAGTTATTTATTTTTTAAAATTCAGTACTTTAATAAGTTCATCTTTTTCAACAATTTTAAAATCTGAATAAAATATTTTTAAAAAGTGATTTTTTTTTTTATGCATTAAATTCTAAGAAGTTTTTATAGCTGGTGAAATATATTTATGTCAGGTTTAAACTGAAATATGCATCACGAATGAAATTAGTAATTGTAATAATAATCCCTTAACTAAGTGTTAAGGGATTATTATTACATTAATAAACAGCAGCTCGACCGAGCTGCTAGAACCGATAATCTTAATTGGCGACTTTAGTCTGGCTGCTTAATCTTTTAGCTTCTTTCTTTTAATCGTTTAAGATTATTTTTTTTATATTGACACTTGCTTTTGCTAGGGTATTTTGTCACGTGACTTTTCGTTGAAGAAAAAAAATCAACGTTTGTTTCAAAAAAATTTTGTTTAAAAAACGCAGAATATGGGTGTTAAACAATTAAAAACCCACCTATACAAATTTATACGATTTAGTACGTAATTTTGCGAAACTAAATAATTTTTTACTTAGCGCGATTTAAAACTAACATAAAAAAAAAACAGACAAATAACATTTGGAAAAGATTCTCCTTGAAATTGTAGAGTTTGCTTTTAGGATGAAAATTTCACCAGATGCCCTATTAGGATGAAAATTTCACCACTGACTTTAACTCAAGCTAATATTTTTAACAAAAGAAATTTTGATTTTTAAAAAGGGTAAAAATGTTGTCTATTTTAACACTAAGACGAATTTAAATTTAGTAACTAAATATGCTGTTGTGAGTTTTATACACTCTGTTTTGTTATTTTTTAATATTTTTTTATTTCTTCTTTTAAAAATTTATAAGTTTGCTTTTGAAAAAATATTTTCAACAAGCATATTCTTTTTATCATTGCAAACATATATGTTTATACCCATAATGTGTATGCATAAAGTGCATCTCGGAAGCTACTACTCCTTCTGGAATAAAAGTTTGGAAGTTTTTATTACTTCTTTTCAATTTTAAGTCAAGACTCATTCTACTCCACATTTTTCACCAGTTGCTTTATTAAATATTCATTTTTTTCATTTTGTTTTACAAAAACATCTCTCTTAAGAACAAATGTCCTTTTATTATTGCAAGAAGCCAGTGTAAAAAAATCCTGTCTGATGTGAAGCTCTGTTATTCTCAGTTTACTAAATCTTGTATCTTTTCTCAGCTGTTAGGTTCTAGAAACTTTTGGTTAGTATTTAACAGTGTCAACTAATATATATATATATATATATATATATATATATATATATATATATATATATATATATATATATAATATATATATATATATATATATATATATATACATACATACATACATACATACATATATATACATATATATATATATATATATATATATATATATATATATATATATATATATATACATATATATATAATATATATAATATATATATAACAGTGTCAACTAATATATATATATATATATATATATATATATATATATGTGTGTGTGTGTGTGTGTGTGTATATATATATACATATATATATATATATATATATATATATATATATATATATATACATATATATATATATATATATATATATATATATATATATATATATATGTATATATATATATATGTATATATATATATATATATATATATATATATATATATATATATATATATATATATATATACAAAATTTATTTTAAAAAAATTTAGAGCAATTTCCAAGCTTTGGCGCGAATAGATTGTGATGTTAAATCCAGTTAATTTATTCAAAGATAATTTCTTAATGTGTTCCTGTACCAAAAAAAACACTGTGCTTCGTAATTTAAGAAATATGTTCTACCTATCTTTCACTGATTACGATAGATAACAACTACAACAACAACAAGCTATTTATTTTCCATTTTAAAATCATTTTTACTATAATAAGGTAAATAATAATAACAATAATTATAAATCAATAAGCAATAGTAATAATTTATAATAATAACAAAAAAAAAATTATCAATAATAATAATTACTATAATAATAAGTAAGTAATAGTATAATAATAAGTAAAATGATATTTCTTATTATAATAAGTTAATGATTAATATGGATGGTGTCACTCATACGGAAGTCTGATCAAAGACACCATTTTTCAAAATAATATGACTAACAATATATATGATAAACATATAGACATAAAACATAGACACACATAAAGTAAACTTTTTAAAACTCATATATGTAGGTAATAATAAAAGAGAAAAGAAAAACAAACAAAAAATAAGGATAATTATTATAGTAATAGAAAAAAATTATAACAAAATATTTTTCAGAATTTTTTTAAATTGATTTTGATTAAGATTAAGAAAAGATGACAAAGGAGTTTGGAGTTGGAGTTTATTGAACTCATTCACAATGTACACAAGACTCTTGTTCCATTCACAGATGCACTGATACACAACAGAATTCTTACCATACTTTTGAGTTTTATTTGATGGTATAATAAGTTTTCCATTTTTTCCATTACTTTTATTTCGTGTAGAGTGTGTATGAATTAGTATGAGTGTGTATGAATTATAAATTAACACTTTGGCTATTGTAAAGTGATTTTTTGTTGATCTTTGAGCTTTTTTCAGTCATACGACAAATTTTATTACCTCTTTTTGGTATTAAATGATGTTTTCTTTTTTTAATATAAAATAAGAATTTTACAAATTCGTGCTTCATAAAAAAAAGTAAGTAAAAATAGATAGGGACTCAAAGAAGATGAGGATGACAATACGTCATCGCAATCTTTTCATAGAGCTCCTTTAACAAAATTTCAATAAAATATCGTAACGTAATAAAATTTCGTAAAATATATACGTAATAAAATTTCACTTAAATATCGTAATAAATATCGTAATAAAATGCGTAAATCGCTAATAAGATTGTTAAACAACAACAATAACAACAACAACAACAAGACGTAGAGTGGTAACATTAACCAAATTTTAAAAATTTCTTTTTTTGTTATAAACTTGAATGAACTTAACGAATTTACCGTCTTTTTTGAAAGGTATTCCATACTTTAGGACCTCGATATGAAATGCTATATTCTGAATATTTGTTTATTATCCGAGGCAGTTTATATGTGTTTAACATATTTGCTCTAAGATTATAGTTTTCATTTTTATTTAATTTAAACTTGTTATTAAAGCTTATAGGAGAGATATTGTAATTGTAACGATACATGAAAATTAAATGCTGATAGACATTTATTTCAAACACATTCATCATTTTCATATTACTCATTAAGGGTTTAGCGTGTTCACGCTTATACTTATAGTAAATGATTCTGCAAACATGTTTTTGCAAACTATACAGTTTTTTAAGCTTTGATGTTTGAGTACTTGCCCATGAAATGTTTGTATAGCTAATGAAGCTAATGCATTAGTCCAAAGTAGATTAATTTTAGACTTTGTGTATTGACGTAAGAGCGAACTTGATACATCAAACCTATGATTTTGGGGTTTTTTGACTGGATATATATTATATGAGGAAGCAAGGATAACTTTTCATCAACAATGATTCCTAAGAATTTTATATTAGATTGCTTTTTAATTAGTTTATCATTTAGGAATAGTTTAAGCAATTTTTAAAAATAATGTTTCTGGAGCCTTAAATCAAACAAATCCAAATCCAAAATGGTTTTCTTAAAAGATTGGGTAAACGACTTTTGATTTTTTGTTGATTACTAAACAAGATCAAAATGTATCAATACAATTCAAAAATATATATTCACATTTTTTCTGTGCTTATTTTAGGTGTTCCGACAAGACCTAATAGTCACATCACTGTACCGTAGAAGAGCATTTAACTTGGAAGTTTACTCTTGCTTCAATTTGATGATGATGAAAAAAATCCTAGAGTAGGCATCGAACCACAGATCACTGAAGAATCCAGCATTTTTTGGTGTTTGAGATAACAGATATGGCACAAACTCCAAACATTTGTATGTTTATACTTACGTCAAATAATGATGCTTCACAAAATATTGCGATGATTGTAGGCTGGGAACAAAAAAAATTCTAAAATTTCATCCCCCGTGTCCCAAAGTAAGAGCAACAGGTTGGTAAATTATTTTTTTTGCTATTCTTAAATATGTTTCTTTTCATCGATAAATTTTAAGTTTCATAGTAATATTTCTCAGCGTTCATAAATTATGACCATAAAAATTTTAAATTAAAAAAAAAAAGAAAAGAAACTTGGGGACAAACAGAAGAAAAAGTCCATTTATTTTTCAAACAAAAATTTGGTGTTGAAGATATTGAAATTGAGCGTGCCTATCTCACTGGACAAAAGAAAGACGGAAAACCTCGGACAATAGTTCTCAACCTTCAACGATATAAAGATAAAGTAAAAATACTGAAAGAACTACATCGAATAAAAGGAACAAACATTTTCGTTAACGAAGACTTTTCACTCGAAACCGTTGCCATCAGGAAATAATTGTTTACTGACGTAAAACGAAGACGTATAAACGGAGAGAATGTTGCGGTTCGGTATGATAAAGTTACTTGTTTTAAAAATTCTTTTTATGATAACAATAGAAAAAAGTAAACTTCACATTCTTAAAAAGAACTTTTTTAAACATATATAAAATAATCATGACTGCATTAAATAATTTTGAATCTCTCGCGTTTAATTTTTTTGAAAAAGAATTTTTTTCCCGGACGAAAACTCAGACCCCGACAATAATTTTTATTGTGAGACTTTTTCAGATTGTTCGTATATTTTTCCAAGGGAGCTAGAAGAGTATCTTTTTAAGAATGTTATTGGCAAAAATTCGAATCAAATTAGAATTCTCCACCTCAATATAAGAAGTCTAAATAGTAACTTTGAAAAACTTTTAAATCTAATAGAAGAAACGAAAAACCTTTTTAATATAATATGCTTAACAGAAACGT